TTAAAAGGAAATGGATGGAGACAGATACACTATACTAACATTAATCAAAAGAATGCAAGAGTAGTCATATTAGTTTCAGCCAGAACAAACTTAGTGCAAGGAAAGTTATCAGGGATAAAGAGGGGCATTACATATGATAAAGGGGTCAGTTCTCCAAGAAGACATACAATCCTTAATGTGTACATGCCTAACAAGAGTTTCAAAATATTTGAGGAAAAAATGATAGAACTGTAAGAAGAAATAGATGAATTCACTATCATAGTTGTACTCTTCAACACCCCTTGTATTAGGGTTCTCTAGAGGGACAGAACTAATAGGATAGATATGTATATATAAAGGGGAGTTTATTAAGGAGTATTAAACTCACAGGATCACAAGGTCCCACAATAGGCCATCTGCAAGCTGAGGAGCAAGGAAGCCAGTCCAAGTCCCAAAGTCTGATGTTTGAGGGTAGGAAGCATCCATCATGGGAGAAAAATGTAGGCTGGGAGGCTAAGCCAGTCTAATCTTTTCACATTCTCCGCTTGCTTTTATCCTAGCCACAGTGGCAGCTGATTAGATTGTACCCACCCAGATTAAGGGTGGGTCTGCCTCTCCCAGCTCACTGACTCTAATGTTACTCTCCTTTGGCAACACCGTCACAGACACAACGAGGATCAATACTTTGCATCCTTCAGTCCAATCAAGACACTCAGTATTAGCCATCATACCCTTGTATCAGAAATGGACAAACACACAGGCAGAAAATCAGTAAGGACATAATCAAATTCAACGGCACCATCAATCAACTTAATACAATTAGCATCTATTGACTACTCTATCCAAACGATAGCAGAGTGCACATTCTTCCCAAGCTCACATGGAACAGTCACCATGATAGACCACATTCTGGGCCATGAAACACACCCTGACAAATTTAGAAGAATAGAAAATGTACAATGTCTGCTCTCAGACCACAGTGGAATTAAACTAGAAATCAATAACAGAAAGATACCTGGAAAATCCCAAAATACTTGGAGATTAAACAACACATATCCCACATATGTGTGGGATAAAAAGAAATCTCAAGAGAAACTTTAAAATGTTTTGAATTAAGATTTTTTTTTGAAAATGAAAACAATGTAAAATTTGTGGGATGCAGCAAAAGTAGTGCTTAGAGGGATATTTGTAGCATTGAATTTGTATATTAGAAAAGAGATCTAAAATGAATAACCTAAGTTTCTGCCTTAGGAAGCTAGAAAAAGAAGAGCAAATTAATTCCAAAGTAAGAAAAAAGTAATAAAAATTACAGTAGAAATCAATGAAATTAAAAACAGGAAGTCAACGAAGAAAACAAAACTGAGAGTTGATTCTTTGAATAGATCAATGAAACTGATAAACCTCTAGCCAGGCTGAGGAAAACAGACAGGACACAAATTACTATTATGAGAAATGAAACAGGAGACATCATTACAGATCCAATGGACATTAATAGGACAATAAAAGAATATTATGAAAAACTCTAGGCTCACAAATTCAATAACCTAGATGAAATAGGTCAATCTCTCATGAAAGACACAATCTGCCAAAACTCACATAAGAAAATCTAAGCCATTTGAACAGATCCATTTCTATTAAAGAAATTGAATCAATAATTAATAACCATCCCATGTGGGTTCACTAGTGAATTCTACCAAACATATAACAAATTCTTGACAATCTCTTCCAAAAGATAGAAGCAGAGTAACTATTTTTAAGTCAATCTATGAAGCCAACATTACCCTAATTCCAAAATTAGACAAAGATATTAAAAGAAAACTATAGATCAATGAGAACACATGAACGCAGGGAGGGGAACATCACACATTGGGGCCTCTCAGGGGCTGGGGGAGGAATAGCATTAGGAGAAAAACCTAATGTAGATGACCGGTTGATGGGTGCAGCAAACCACCATGGCACGTGTATACCTAGTAACAAACCTGCACATTCTGCACATGTACCCCAGAACTTAAAGTATAATTTAAAAAAAAATCAAGATTAAAAAAAAAAAAAGAAAACTACAGATCAATACATCTCATGAACATAGAGGCAAAAATCCTTAACAAAACATTAGCAAGTTGAATCCATCAATGCATAAAAAGAATTATATACTACAGCCAATTGGAATTTATCCCAGGTATGCAAGGCCAGTCCAGCATTTGAAAATCAATCAATGCATCACACCAACAGGCTAAAGAAGAAAAACTGCATGATCATATCAATAGATGCAGAAAGAGCATTTGGAAGAATCCAACACTCATTTATGATAAAAACTCTCAGCAAACTAGGAATATAGGGGGATTTCCTCAGCCTGATAAGTCACATCTGCAAAAAAACCTGCAGCTAACACCATTGTTCTTTTTTTTTTTTTTTTTGAGACAGTTTCACTTTTGTCACTCAGGCTGGAGTGCAATGGTGTGATCTCAGCTCACTGCAACTTCTGCCTTCTGGGTTCAAGTGATTCTCCTGCCTCAGCTTCCTGAGTAGCTGGGATTACAGGCACCCCCCACCATGCCTGGCTAATTTTTGTATTTTTAGTAGAGACGGGGTTTCACCATGTTGGCCAGGCTGGTCTCAAACTCCTGACTTCAGGTGATCCACCCACCTCGGCCTCCCAAAGTGCTGGGATTACAGGTGTGATCCACTGTGCCCGGTCAACACCATTATTCTTAATGGTGAAAAACTAGAAGCTTTTCTATTAAGACTGGGAACAAGGCAGTTTCCTCTCTCACCACTCCTTTTCAGCATCATAATGGAAGACCTAGCTAATGGAATAAGAGAAGAAAACGAAATAAAAACTATACTATAATATTTGTGAAAGAAGAAATATAATTTTTTATTTGCAGATGAGATTGATTAGAAAATTTGAAAGAATCAACAAAAAATCTGGAATTAATAAGTGATTATAGAAAAGATTCAGGATACTAGTTTAATATGCAGAAGTCAATACTTTCCTATATACCAACAATGAATAAGTAAAATTTAAAATTTAAAACAATACCATTGACATTAGCACTCCAAGAAATGAAATAATTAGGTATAAATCTAGCAATATATTTGTGAAATGTATGTGAGGAAAACAACAAAACTCTGATGCAAGAAATCAAAGAACTAGCCAGGTATTATGGTATGTTCCTGTAGTCCTAGCTACTTGGGAGACTGAGGTAGGAGAATTGCTTGAGATCAGGAGCTTGAGACCAGCCTGGGCAACACAGTGAGCCCCATCTCAGAAAGAAAAAAACAGAAATCAAAGAACTAAAGTAAACTGAGATATCTTTATTTAATATCTATTCCATGATCATAGATAAGAAAACTCAGTAGTCAAGATGTCAGTTCTTCCAACTTTATTTATCAATTCAACTCAATTCCAATAATCATCTCAGCAAGTTATTTTTTGGATATTAGCAAATTGATTCTGAAGTTTACATGGAGAGGCCAGAATAACCAACAACATTGAAGAACAAAGTTGGAGGACTGACACTATCCAACTTCCAAGACTTACTAAAAAAAAACACAGAATCAAGACAGTATAGATGAGAAATCATCTTACCCTAGTCACAGTGGCTATTATGAAAAAGACAAAACAACAAAAAACAGATGTTGGTGAGGGTGCAGAGAAAAGGGAACTCTCATACACTGTTGGTGGGAATGTAAATTAGTACAACCTCTATGGAAAACAATATGGAGATTTCTCAAAGAACTAAAAATAGAACGACCATTTGATCCAGGAATCCCACTATTAGGCATCTACCCAAAAGAAAAGAAAGGTATGTATCAAAAAGATTCCTGCACTTGTATGTTTATCGCAGCACTATTCACAATAGCAAAGATAACAGAATAAATCTAAGTATTCATCAGTGGATGATTGGATAAAGAAAATGTGGTATAAATACACAATAGAATACTATTCAGTAATAAAAGAATGAAATTATGTCTTTCGCAGCAAAATGGATGGAACTGAAAGTCATTATCTTAAGTGAAACAAGCCAGACACAGAGAGTCAAGTATCAAGGTTCTCACACATAAATGGGTGCTAAAAAATGTGTGCACATGGGCTTAGTGCAGTAATAGATAATGGAGACTCATAAGAGTGTGATGGGGGGTGGATGATGAGAAATTAATGAGTACAATGTACGTTATTTGGGTGATGGATACCCTAAAAGCTGTGACTACTATGCAATTTGTACATGTTACAGAACTGTACATGTGTTGTGTTTAGAAAGACACAGCATTAAAATTAAATTTTCAAGCCATAACAACTATATGTTTAAAATACTTATAAAATCACAACTTACTCCCTCCCAACCCCCCAAACAGGAACTTCAGTAAACATTACTCACTATCAGAGTTTTATTTAGCTAAAAATATAGTCTTGCAATATACCTGGGAGTTTAATACGGTAGTTATTTGTAACATTAGCATAATAGGCCTATTCAGACAGAAGCTTTCTTTTTTGCTACAAAAAATTCCATGAATTTTTAAGGAGAATAAAAACCAAAACATCGTATGATGCCATTAAATCACATTTTAGGGCCGGGTACGGTGGCTCACACCTGTGATCCCAGCCCTTTGGGAGGCCGAGGTGGGCGGATCATGAGGTCAAGAGATTGAGACTGTCCTGGCCAACATGGTGAAACCCTGTCTCTACTAAAAATACAAAAATTAGCTGGGCATGGTGGCATGCACCTGTAGTTCAGCTACTCGGGAGGCTGAGACAGGAGAATCGCTTGAACCCAGGAGGCAGCGGTTGCAGTGAGCCAGATTGCACCACTGCACTCCAGCCTGGCAACAGATTGAGACTCCATCTCAAACAAACAAACAAACAAACAAAAAACATCTTAGACTTTTAAAGAGTCCTTATGAGACCTGGCTTGAGAATAAGCATGGACTTTAAGCATGAAAATGTCAGTTGAGCCAAAGCTGATATTAGACATTTGTAAAGGTTAGCAGCTTGCCTTAAATAATTGTTTCCATTTTTCCAGATGCTGTTGAGACATATTTCATAAAAAGTATCAATGCATATCGAGCAACACTGGGCTCAGAGGATTCTGAAACACTGAGCACCACTGAAGAATTTTGCAAATGGCTTGTCCAAAATGGAGAAAAACAGGTAAATATGATCAATGCATAAACAGAATTGCTAGTTTGTTTATTAGATCACAATAGCATTTTTCATCTTACAGTTTAGATACTGGAGATCAGATAGGTCCCAGATAAAACTAGGCAAGAAACACATTGTTTCATTATTTGTTAGCATTAACCAAATTTTTTTTTTTTTTTTTTTGCAAATTGATTTCATTCTTTTGATGAAACTGAGCAACTCTGTCCAACAAGGTTTAGTTTGTACTTGGAAACCGCAAAGTAGGGTCAAAGTATTTTAGAGGGACTCGATATTGATGGCAAAAGAAAATTCGCAGCTACACGTTTGCTTCTAACGGTTCCCTCTCTGACAAACTTTTTTTTTGAGATAGGGTCTCTCTCTGTCACCCAGGCTGTAGTGCACTGGGGCGATCTCGGCCCACTGCAACCTCCGCTTCTTGAGTTCAAGAGATTTGCCTGCCTCAGCCTTCCAAGTAGCTGGGATTACAGGCGTGCGCCACCATGTCCAGCTAATTTTTGTGTTTTTAGTAGAGATGGGGTTTCGCCATGTTGACCAGTCTGGTCTTGAACTCCTGACCTCAGGTGATCCACTCGCCTCGGCCTCCCACAGTGCTGGGATTACAGGAGTGAGCCACCATGTCCTGCCAGCATTGCCTTTCTTGTTTGAAATTTTACAGCTATACTTTGTTGTGTAATGTTATGGTTCCCTTTCTGTAAAATGTTATTTTTGGTGATCTAAATAAAGCCTGTTTTGTTTGGAGAAAAAAAAATAAAATAAAACTAGGAATAATACACAGGGCTTAGGTGGCTTGGAATATTAGTAAAAAAATATTTTTCTTGTATCTTGATACATGAGATCCTTCAGATCCAGGACACATGTATTCTCTGGCTTTGTATTTAATATTTTAAGTCAAAATTGGCTTCCATCTTTGGATCTAGCTACTAGTTCTTTTCTTTTGCGGTAGTGGTTTTCTCTTGATCTGATAGGTTTTTATTAGCAGCAATTTTGTTTTCACATTTTAAAAAGTTATAGAAAATAATTGTTATTGCTGACTTTTTTACTTAGAAGTCCCATGAGTCTAAGTTATCATTCAAAACCTTTTGACTTGAACTTTATATATTCAGTGCAGCATGAACACAGCGAAGACCTTTGTCTGTCATAAGATCCCCCATGACTTTGATCTGACCAAGCCAACTTTATACTTCCTCAGGCGAGTGAGAAATATGGATAGATTTGACATGGTCTTATTGGCCATGTAAAAACCAGTATAAGAGTAGAGTTATAGGCACATAGTAAGTAAAAATTTATTCCAGGAATGAAAAAAAGTTTTTTATATCTTATCTAGACATTTTTATAAATGGTGACATTTTCGTTATTTCAATTTTAATTGCCATTTGTAAAGACAAAAACCTTATAATGATTTGCAACCTTTTTTTTCTGTGGCCATGATATTTTCTGTTGGTTTAGAAGATTTTTTTTTTTTTTTTTTTTGAGACAGAGTCACTCTGTTGCCCAGGCTGGAGTACAGTGGCACGATCCAGCTCACTGCAACCTCTGCCTCCCAAGTTCAAGTGATTTTTGTGCCTCAGCCTCCCGGAATAGCTGGGATTACAGGCGCCCACCATCACACCCAGCTAATTTTTGTATTTTTTGTAGAAACGAGGTTTAATCCTGTTGGTCAGGCTGGTCTCGAACTCCTACCTCAAGTGACCCGCCTGCCTTGGCCTTCCAAAATGCTAAGATTACAGGCGTGAGCCACCACACCTGGCCAGTTCAGAAGATTAATGTGAGATCCCAATGCCATGGGTTGATCTAATAATTAATTTTATTTTCAAAGATGTGAAAATACTTTGCCAGAATTTAATAGCTTATCCCTGTTATAGTCTGGTGCAGTGAATACCATGACCTTGGTTGTGATAAACCACCAGTACCACCACCAGTACCAATGCCTGATAATCCTCTGCTTCTAACCAAGTACTTTCTAGTATACCAAGCTCCTGGACAAAGCTACCAAAGGACCTGAGTGCCCGGTGGCTCCAAATCTAAACCATAAGCAGGACTATGGACAGGTCAGCTTTACCATTAGGAAGCAAGTGCCATGAGGGCAGGAAGTTTTGTTTGTTTTGTTCACTGCAGTGTCCTCAATGCCTGAAACACTAACTGGCACATAGAAGATGCCTGGTAACTTTTGAATGAAACTGCTGAATTTTATGACACATTTCCCATATTTAAAAGTAGCTCATTCCCCTGCCTCCAAGCTTCATGTGAGGCTCTAGGCCTGTCCTAGAGGACCATAACAGAAACTCACAAGATTTGGGAATCGTTCCCATGGAATACACAGACACATACACATGCACACACATATATATTTTGGTAAGTAGTTTAATCTGCCATGGATAAAAAATAAAACTCATTCATCTGGAACCACCTTCTTCCAGTAATTCATCAAAATGACAATCATGGCTGGGCATGGAGACTCACACCTGTAATCCCAGCACTTTGGGAGGCCGAGGAAGGAGGATTGCTTGAGCCTAGGGGTTTGAGACCAGCCTGGGCAACAAAGTGAGACCCTCATCTCTAAAAAAATTAAAGAATTAGCCAGGAGCAGTGGTGCATACCTGTGGTCCCAGCTACATGGGAGGCTGAGGCAGGAAGATCACTTGAGCCTGGAAAGTTGAGGCTGCAGTGAGCTGTGATCACGCCACTGCACTCCAACTTGGGTGACAGGGACCCTGTCTCAAAAAACAAACAAACAAAGAAAACAAAAAACAAAACAGAGAATGAGTTTGTCATCAATGCCATAAAAAGAGACTATAAGAACACTACAGGTCCATATCCCTGAGGCATATAGATGCAAAAATTCTCAACAAAACACTAGCAAACCAAATTTAACAGCATATTAAAAGAGTCATATGCCATCACCAAGTGGGATTTATCCCTGGGATGTAAGAATGGTTTGACATACGAAAATCAATCAATGAGATATACTGTCTTAACAGAATGAAGGATAAAAATCAGATGATACCCTGAGATCCAGAAAAAGCACTGGACAAAATTCAATACCTTTTCATGATAACAACAAAAAAACAAAACTGCCAACAAAGAAAGAATAAAAGGAAATTACCTCAAGATAATAAAGGCCATACATGTATGCAAAGCCTACAGCTAATACCATACTTAATGGTGAAAAACTGAAAGCTGTTCCTTTAAGATCAGGAACAAAAGAAGGATGCCCACTTTCACCACTTCTATTCAGCATAGTACTAGAGGTACTAGCCAGAGCAGTTAGGCAGGAAAGCTAAATAAAAAACATCCAAATATGAACAGAAGTAAAATTATTTCTGTTCGCAGAATGACATGATGTTATGTAGAAAACCCTAATGATCTCACACACACACACACACACACACACACACACCCTGTTTGAACTAATAAATTCAACTAAATTATAGGAAACAAAATCAGCATACAAAAATCAGTTTCACGGCCGGGCACAGTGGCTCAAGCCTGTAATCCCAGCACTTTGGGAGGCTGAGACGGGCGGATCACGAGGTCAGGTGATCGAGACCATCCTGGCTAACACAGTGAAACGCCATCTGTACTAAAAAATACAAAAAAAAACTAGCCGGGTGAGGTGGCGGGTGCCTGTAGTCCCAGCTACTCGGGAGGCTGAGGCAGGAGAATGGCGTAAACCCGGGAGGCAGAGCTTACAGTGAGCTGAGATCCGGCCACTGCACTCCAGCCTGGGCAACAGAGCGAGACTCCATCTCGAAAAAAAAAAAAAAAAAAAGGTTACATTTTTATATACTAACATTGAACAATTTGAAAAAGAAAGCAAGAAAACCAATCCCATTTACAATAGCATCAAAAAGAATAAAATACTTAGGAATAAACTTAACCAAGGAGGTGAAAGACAGACACTGAAAAAAATAAACAGGAAAATAATAAATTATATGCATGCTTTCCTACTCTAAAAAATGCAAAAATATTACAGTAGTAGCCTTGAGATTCCTGATTTATTGGCAGTGTTTTCTGGAAAGCAGCAATTGACATCCCTTTTATGGTTGTTGTTCTGACATGCCACATTAGGGATGATGATTACATGTTCAACCCAATTCTGAAGAAACATTCTGTTGCACCTGTCAACATAGATAATTCAGGCAGTGAGTGGGTGATGTGCAGTTCTTGAGGGAGCCAGCAATAATACCTCTTCAGCTTCCCTAAAGAAAGCACATTGGGAAGGCAAATGAGTACAAGCACTGTTGTCCTGTGAATGATTTCCCGTGTATACTTAATTTATTTTTGCTGTATAGTAAGTAGTTAACAGTGAGAGCTTTGCTGAAAGACAACTGGCCTAGACATTTCAAAAATGTCAATGTTATGAAAGACCAAAAGGGCAGGAGAACTGTAACAGATTAAAGAATCATGAGAACTCAATGCAATACATGATGATTAGATGCTAGATTTTAAGGAGGTGTAAAGAACATTATTGGAAAAATTGGGAAATTTGAACATGGAGCATATATCAGGAAACGCTGTTGTACTGATGTAAGATTTATTGAACGATAATATTATTGTAGATATGTAGGAAAGTGTTTTTGTTCTAAGAAGACACACGCTTAAGTATTTAGAGCCACATGTGATGGCTCATGCCTGTCTGTAATTCCAGTAATTTGTGAGGCCAGGGTTGGAGGATCACTTGAGCCCAAGAGTTCATGACCAACCTGGGAAACATAATGGGACCCTATCTCTACAATAAATAAGTAAATAAATAAGCTGAGCAGAGTGGTGTGGAACTATAGTCCCAGCTACTTGAGAGGCTGAGGTGGAGGATCGTTTGAGCTTGGGAGGTTGAGGCTGCATGAGCCGTGATCACACCCCTGCACTCCAGCCTGAGCAACAGAGTGAGGCTCTGTCTCTTTAAAAAAAAAAACAAAAAAAAACCAACCAAAACCAAAACAAAACAAAAAGCATTTAGGGGTAAATTATCTTGATTACTACAACCTATT